CTTCAAAAGCATTTACACCAAATTGTGGTGAAAGTATCCGACCGTTATGGTCACTGATATTAATGGTCATTATAATAATTATTGCTTGATTTCATGACTGAAAACTTTTCTGTGTTTGCATTGCTGAATAAAAGAAAAACTGTCGATTCGTAGATTCTAATGAAGAGCGATTCTAGGAGAAAAACGCTCTTCTACACCGTTGTTTTAATCATTCCCACAGTTTTGATGGCATTTCTTAGTATGGCTGTATTCTTTCTTCCTACTGATTCAGGTGAGAAATATGCAAACGATCATTTCCTTTATCTTTACTGCACCTTTCATTCTCACACATCCACCTACGACTCGATTAATGGGTATACAATTGAAATATGATCGATCAAAAACCTCGTTACTCTAGAATCAATGTTTTTCATAGTGAAGGAAATTCTTTGCTGAGAGGAAATTTAGGGGCGTGAAAGCAATAACTGATGAGGTTAGGAAATCACTGTTGAATATTACTCAAAATGTTTATTTGCTCACAACGAATCGGTTCCTTTGAAAGGATGATTTGAAATCGTCGTCATTGGATCAATGCATCAAAATCTTGATTTCCTTGTGATTTTTTCCTAACTTCAAGATATAAAAAAAGGAGGCAGATGGAGTTGTAATCGTTTGAAAGTGTTTCAATGAGGGGGAGGGGGTGGGCATAGAGAGGATGGCGGCGGTCAATTATTTTGGATGGAATGGTGTCCAACGCTCGATCATTACGGTGAACATAGGACTAGCAATATAAGACTGAGAACTGTTCCGAGCCGAGGTATTAACCGAGGGCTAACAGTAAGCTTAGACTATTGCTTCGGATATTTCGGCTTTTCGATAACTTTAGGTGGGCCGTTGGGAGAGGACAAACATAGCACTCCACTCGTTTATGAAATGATTCAATGAAATTTGTCTATATGACAAGAGAAGCTTATACTTATCGATCAACTAAATCAGTTTATGTTTCAGGTGAGAAGATGACACTCACCATTTCAGTGTTGTTGTCCATTGTTGTGTTTCTGTTGCTCGTCTCCAAAATCCTTCCACCCACCTCATCGACAATTCCTTTGATGGCAAAATACCTACTGCTCACTTTTGTGCTCAACGTTATCACAATTCTTGTCACTGTGATCATTATCAATGTCTACTTCCGTGGACCAACCACGCATCGGATGCCCAAATGGGTCAGAACTACCTTCTTACAGGTAATTTCTCTTCTTTCTTCTTAAAAACATTTCTTGATCTGCTATGAAACATCGCTTCCATTCGTATATACATCACAATCGAAACATCTATTAGAACTTTGTTCTGGTTCTACCTGAAAATGAAATGCTTAGATACGATCAAGGGATAGGCTCATCATTCTCTTCACATTCGTCGTTCTAACAAATGAACTCTTATCTAACAATAAGCATTAACACAAAGTTGAGCTAGTTGGATGGAATGGAATGAAAACAGAACCATTTTAACATGTTTCGGGGAATATAAACTTCACAAAGACCGCAGTCAAGAAAAANGAATGAAAACAGAACCATTTTAACATGTTTCGGGGAATATAAACTTCACAAAGACCGCAGTCAAGAAAAAAACACAAAAGTGAAATGAATGCGAAGTAAACCAACAAAACCTTCGCATAATCTTCTGAAAACTGCTGATATGCCGCTAACTGCGGAAATATGTTGAAGTATGTATGTGAGCGAGTGAATTCAGTGGAGTGGTTCGGAGAAGAAACATCAACAAAACAGTAGAGGATGATTGGAAATTTCGTCAGTGCTTGTGCAACGAGTAATGATTTCAGGTGATGCCAAAATTGTTGTGTATGCAAAGGCCAAAACAATTGCTCCGTAAGATGGCTGCTCATGCAGCAGCCCAAAAGGCGAACGGCGCCGCCACTATGGTCTCAGCACTACCCGGCATCGGGGAATTCTCTTTGAATCCGTCTGCACATCATCCGTTCTGTCCGTCCGCTGATGAATCCAGGTATTTGGCTTCTCGTGAACTTTCGGAAGTCCTTGAAGCTTTGCTTCATTGCTCAGTGAATTCGAGCCTCTTTTCGAAACTTATGCAGCGAAAAAACTCGCAACATTGTTGCTTTCAAACCAAATTCTAGCTGAATATAGTGTATGCGTTTTCTCGTTTTCCTGATGTGCGAAATTTATGCTTTATGAAAACTTATGAAGTGTTCACAATGGTGAGTGGTTGTTTTGGTGATTCATGTGTTACTGACAACTAGGCGATTTATATTCATATCGGACGAGTTCGATGGTTTGAAGCGATAAAAGCTCTCATTTGACATGTCCNTAGGCGATTTATATTCATATCGGACGAGTTCGATGGTTTGAAGCGATAAAAGCTCTCATTTGACATGTCCAATACCTAGTGTGCGATTCTGATTGACATTAGTGACCTTGTCGTGCACGTGGAACCAACCCCTTGAGGGACTGTCGATTGCTTTTGCTCTTGTTGCGTACATTCACTCAAATTTAATATTTTTTCAAATTTGTGAGATGATTTCAAAACACTGCAGAAAACAGCGGACAGACAGACGTTCTAAAGCCATCCTTTTGAGTCGACATCCCAATCGTATGAGTGAGTGATGTATTTAGGAAAATATCGCGCCTGAGAATGTCCAAAATGTCTTCGCTTTTGAATGAATGATTACTAGGAAGGGGAACATTTTCAAAACTCACTGAACCATTCGAAAATGAAGTATTTGGCTGTTATTTGCGATGAGTTTAAATTCTTTCATCGTATGTGATTAAAAAGGTGAAGATGAACAAAAACTTAGTCTTGAAAGTGTCATGACAACGAACCAATTCAGGTATCAACCGCCAGCAATTGAACTAACGCACTCGGATAGCGTACGACCATTTCAACGTGATCCAACAACAAGTGAATATTATCCGTTGAGTGCAGATGCAATGCGGGCAATTGACGCCATCGAATACATTACCGATCACCTGAAGCAGGACGAAGAATATAAAATGGTTAGTGCCGGCCGCATCGTTTCAACTCAACGGCAACGGTTTGC